ACTGAAACTCAAGCCACAAACTTGTAGGAAAAAATGCGCTCCCCCATAGCAGTTAGGTTGCTCGGAATGTTTCGCAGTACAAAATTATGCTTGTGTTTAATTCTCTCCTCCGTTTTAGAACTTAGTACCCCAATAAGTTTAGAATCTTGTTCAATTAGTTTTTCAGAAGTGCTGTTTATGTCGCCATATATCAACCGATCAAGTATTTTGTCGGCTGATGGCCTGCTACGACTAGCAGAGGCGTATTTTTGGACGATTGAAGGGTCAAGAGGTTCCTCATGTACTAAAGGGATTTAGGACTTAATCAGATCTACAGAAAACGAAGAACATATGCTGGCACCTGCTATGTCTTCAGTCACGTTTCTAGCACCCAATGACGGTGGGGAGGCCGCAAGTTTTCGTCTTTTAGTACGTGCTCTGCGGGGCATTACAGACAAGAAAAGCTTTTCGTTACAGTAGAAGGATCAAAACTTTGCTAAGGTACAGAAAAGCACACTGAATAGCGAGTACTACTGTTATTTCACTACGAAAACTAGAAAGACGTAGTCTGCAACGGAGTCACTGCAAAGGTTTTTTACAAAATACGAATATTTTGCCAGATTGACAAACAAAACTGGAAAAAAATATACCTTATAGTGAAAAACCATTTTAAAATCGACTCAAGTAAGCAAACAGTCGTCAATAGCTTAAGAATATCCAAGTAAATACAAAGATTCACTTATCTTTGTAACTTAGCTGCGCGCCTTTCTAGCTGATCCCAACTGGTGCGCTCTCCAGCAAGTGATTATCACACTTTAGATCTAATCTTTACGAATGACATTGTTCCTCTTTCCGTTGCTTTAAATAAGGACCTTTTTGACAGTGACCACGTATTAATTCATTGTTGCTTACCGCTTGCCTTTTCAAAAAAGACCAGTGCCGTTCGGACTAATGTAACCTACGATTGCGCATATAACGAATTAATATATATCTATATTAGATCTCTGGATTGGCGTGGCTTCCTCTCCTGTTGCGGTGCAAAAATTCTTCGTGATGTCATGTCCAATTTTTCCAAGGACATTCTAGAGTTTGTGCCGCGTATATATAGAATAGAATAGAATAGGTTTATTGTAGCGCCCCTTGGGCACTTTCAGTCCCCTTTGAACTCAGGAAAAAAAACCTAAAACAAACTCGTCAATTTCAACTGCACTTTGACTTCATTTGCTTCGGGTGCCTGGTTAGCCAAAAGAGCGCGAATTGAGAGTTTGTTTTAAGTTAAAAAAACCTCAGTTCTAAGGGAAAATAATATCAAAAATTTTAAAAAAATAACGATATGTACAATATAAAAATTGAAGTTTGCAGTTTGGTAGTTTTCGGGGGCATGAATAATATGTCCTTCATGGCAATTGAAGAACTTTGATATCGGCCTGACCTTGAAATTATTTTCCTGTTGGGTAAATTTCGGTTTGCTCTAGTTGTTGGTTGTCAGTCTATCTGGCCAGCTGTAAGGGGGCGGTCGCACAGTTCCGACGTATTTTTCAGGAGGCTTACCATCGTTGTCTGGACTAAGAGCTGGAAAAGAT